GCATCCTACGCGTGACGATCCGGGATAGAATAGGCCTTCACCAACCCATGCTTGCCGTAACAGGCGACTATGCTTGTCGTAAAAGGTGACTAACGGGATCGGGTTGTCAGACTCGCTGACTAGGTTGATGCATGTCATTGTATCCAAATTGCGTAGATCGGTGCTCATGATGTCAATCACTAGATTGTCTGATCCAGATTCGGTTATTTACAGACCTCCGTCTTTTAGTTTGAATATTGCTGAGTGCGGCAAATAAACAAACAAAACATTCGGCATCCAAAGGGAATAGAGGATCTCTGTGTGTTGTTTCATATGACATGGGACGCGGTCGGGTAGCCTAGTGGTTAAAGCGTTCGCTCGTCACGCCTAAGACCCGGGAACGATTTCCGACATGGGTACAATGTGTGAAGCCCATTTCTAGTGTCCCCCGCCGTGATATTGCTGGAATATTGCTAAACGCGGCGTAAAACCATACTCACTCACTCACTCATATGACATGGATATCTCATAGAATGAAAGAGTCGTGCAACCACGAGAGAACATTGCAACTATTCATGTCACGAGATGAGATGAATACGTTGTGCGACAAGAAAAATACGTATGTATTATGTATTTTATGGAATGATTTCCATGATGTCATTATAGACTGAAAATAGTTCCCGCATGAAGTGTTATTTCACTCGAATTAAATAATGATCCAATATTTGAAGATAACTATAGTATTTCATCACTAAAAACATGATAAAGAGGCTTATTCAAGTCACAAACCTGGATTTCCTCATATATCAGACAAGCGGATCTTGGGAGAATTTATGACCACTATACTTTCCTTTCAGAGGGATTCCGGTCAGATGCCCAATTTCAGCCTGTGTCTAGACTGTGAACCTGAGACAAAGTCTCTGTGTAATCAGGGCTATTACTAACTACTAGCGTGAGTTACATGATACATTTTGAGGTAGCCGGCAAACACAATGGTGTGGAAGAAACTTGAATCAATCCTGTCAATCTGTCCGAACCTAGTTTCCCTGCACAACTTAAAAGATTGGTGGTGAGGTGAAATTGTGTGTCTATGTTAGTGTTAGTGTAAGTGTTAGTGTTAGTGTGTTAGTGTGTGTGTGTTAGTGTTAGTGTGTTAGTGTGTGTTTGAGTTAGTGTTAGAGTTAGTGTTAGTGTGTGTGTGTTAGTGTCAGTGTGTTAGTGTGTGTTAGTGTTAGTGTATGTGTGTTAGGGTGTGTGTGTTAGTGTGTGTGTGTTAGTGTTAGTGTGTGCGTGTGTGTGATAGTGTGTGTTAGTGTATGTGTGTTAGTGTTTCTGTGTTAGTGTACGTGTGTGTGTGTTAGTGCGTTAGTGTTAGTGTGTGTGTATGTTAGTGTGTGTATGTGTGTGTGTAAGTTAGTGTTAGTGTTAGTGTGTGTCTGAGTTAGTGTTAGAGTTAGTGTATGTGTGTTAGTGTGTCTGTGTTAGTGTAAGTGTGTGTGTGTGTGTTAGTGTGTGTGTTAGTGTGTGTGTGTGTTAGTGTGTGTGTATGTTAGTGTGTGTATGTGTGTGTTAGTGTTAGTGTGTGTGTGTGTTAGTGTATGTGTGTTAGTGTGTCTGTGTTAGTGTAAGTGTGTGTGTGTTAGTGTGTGAGTGTGTGCACACATGCACACATAGTATAGTGCTAGCCCAATGAGATACCATGCCGCAGGTTTAACATGGGTGCCCCACTCAGACACAGTAAACCGATTTCGAACTACATCTGTGCACGCATGACGATTTACAAGAGCAATGACACGACGATAACCGCATTTCACCTCACAACAGTACATTCAGCCGATTCCGCAAGCATCTCCCCGTATTCGTATCTTCAACATACCTCTGCGATATCAGAGGTGAGGGGATGCCCAAAGTGAATCCGTTTGTCATTCTTGTAACACCAATTGAAGGGGCATTGTGCTGATCATTGATCACAATTGGGGCAAATCTGAGATTCGAATATACAGTAATCGGATCCTGCATAGGTAAGGAAGGTAACTCTATATGGTGATTTGCGATGCTTTAGGGCCCTGGGTCAACAATACCTGACATGTGAGTTGTAGATGCTTTTATTGCTGATGTGGTGACTGCCATGATGTTGTCAGAGCACGAAGCATGCGGGTGAGTAGAGTCATGTGCTGCTTTTAGAAATAGTCCAGGAATATCATTTACCTGAGCTTCTCACACAAAGAGCTAGGACGGGGTAACTGTAGGTTTGAAGCAAACGACAAGCAGATCCTCTGCAATATCAGAATAAGCTCCTCTACATGCATTCCTACCCTAATCGCAATATAATTCTGCTGTATGCATTTTGTCTCATTGTGATGTCCTGCTTTACCAAAGGAGCTCATTTCTTGCATCGTTATCGTACTATCCCCTGTTCTAAAATGACTGAGAGCAGAGAATGATCAGAATGCATTATCCTGCCATAAGGAATAAAAACTGTTCAATTTACTCAGTCCCCAAAAAACTGTCGCTACATCCCAAATGAGAAAAGCCTTCAATTTACCGACAAAGGATGTTTTATTCAGCTGTTGCGGAGCAGCTAATGGGAAGAGAAGGATGAAGATTCAGTGATGTGCGCGCCCATGAAGACGAATAGGGAACCGTACTTATTGGCCATCCTGGTGTCCTCACACCATTGATCAAAGAACCATAGGGGCAGAGGGAGATGACGCGGATGGTCCAGCAGCTGGACATTAAGCGATGTATATTGTCACATGACAGTTGTTCTCCCAACCTGTGTCAATATCTTGTGGCACAATGATCCCTATGGTGTTTACACATCTACTCCCCGCGTCCATGCTTACCGCTTAATGTGCTCCTGTTTGTTTGAAGTGCGTCCTTAGTGATATCGAGTGGAATATCAATGCATGCAGGCCATCTTCAATCTGAAGACGCTATAGACAACCATGGACTGCGATGTCTCGTCCCGCTGGTTATCTTTGAAAGGGAAAAGTGTATTTGTTCCATATTTGGGGAATTACACAATTACGTTTTTACACCGCTGCTTGAAAACACTTCTTTGCATCTGCATTAAGGAAAAAACATCTGAAAACGTCTTGTATTGATTTATCGTCACGGGATTATTGCTATCCATGAATGTGACAGCGATAATAATCCCATTAAAGGCCTCGGCATGTCTTCAAGCAAAATCACTTTTTGTTTAACCTTTACGTGAGTTTTAGTTAGTCTGAGGCTATGAGGCAGTATTAAAGCACACTATCAACATCAGTATTTAATATCCCAAAGCAGCCACACCTGACACTATTTATCCAGATGTGTGAGTTAGAGGCGCATGGCATTGAACAGTATTACGTCACGGCGTGTCGGGTTGAGGTGAGGAGATGCCCAAATTTTATAGTGAATCCGTTTGTCGTTCTTGCAACACCAATTGAAGGGGTATTGTGCTGATCATTGATCACAATTGGGGCAAATCTGAGATTCGAATATACAGTAATCGGATACTGCATAGGTAAGGAAGGTAACTCTGTATGGTGATTTGCGGTGCTTTAGGACCCTGGGTCAACAATACCTGACATGTGAGTTGTAGATGCTTTTATTGCTGATGTTGTGACTGCCAGAAGCGCGGGGATGATGTTGTCAGAGCACGAAGCATGTGCTGCTTTTAGAAATAGTCCAGGAATATCATTTACCTGAGCTTGTCACACAAAGAGCAAGGACGGGGTAACTGTAGGTTTCAAGCAAACGACAAGCAGATCCTGGTACGGCCAAGAGACGCAACACTGCTATCAAATGAGATTGGCCGGATGTGTCGTGATGCCATCCATGTATTGGACTTCCCTAACATGGTATCACTTCGCAGTTAAAAAGGTTGCTGACAGACAACGTTTTGACAGCCGAGAACCCACCCCTTTTAATTACTTAATATGTATAACGTTTCATATGCACGTGCATTTTATGTGGTTTTACGTTTCTATATTGTTACGTTCGAATCACACATTTGGTCGTTGCAGGCGTTTTCAACCATGACATATATTTTACTTTGGCTTCGTAGTCATGCTTCACAAATAGTTGATGACTCGGTATCACACATGCTGTCGAGTTTCACATGTATAGATGACCCAAGGATACACGGCCGGAATGGCGAGGACAGGACTAAAGGATGCGGACTAATGACGTCAGGGCTAACGGGGTCGGAGCTAACTGTGTCAGGGGTAATAGGTTCAGAACCAACGGCGTCAGGGCTGATGGAGTCAATACTAACGGCGTCAGAACTAATGGGGTATGACAAACGGAGTCGGGGCTAACGGGATTAGAAGTAACGGCGCCAGGGCTAATGGAGTCAGTACTAACGGCGTCAGAACTAATGGGGTATGACAAACGGAGTCGGGGCTAACGGGATTAGAAGTAACGGCGCCAGGGCTAATGGAGTCAGTACTAACGGCGTCAGAACTAATGGGGTATGACAAACGGAGTCGGGGCTAACGGGATTAGAAGTAACGGCGCCAGGGCTAATGGAGTCAGTACTAACGGCGTCAGAACTAATGGAGTATGACAAACGGAGTCAGGGCTAACAGGGATCAGAAGTAACGGCGCCAGGGCTAATGGAGTCAACACTAACGGCATCAGAACTAATGGGGTCAGGGTTAATGGCATCTGAATTAACGGAGTTTGGGCTAACGGAGTCTGATCAACGGGGTCAGGACTAAACGGACAGGGCCAGGGCGAACTGGGACCGCATAATTGAGTTCGTTCTAATGGGATGAGGGCTAAGGGAGTCAGGGTTAAGAGGGTCAGGACTGACGTTATCAGGACTAACGTTATCAGGACCAACGTTATCAGGACTAACGTTATCAGGACTGACGTTATCAGGACCAACGTTATCAGGACTAACGTTATCAGTACTAACGTTATCAGGACCAACGTTATCAGGACTATCGTTATCAGGAATAACGTTATCAGGACTTATAGGATGAGGAACGACGGTGTTTCACTGAGTGTTGCCATGACGCCATGCTTACCTTCTTGTCGAGGCACGGCGTGTAGTCGGTCCAGTCTAGCAGGTTCTTCTTGTACCAAGTGCCGTCAGCATTGCACTGTTTGATAGCGTTACCTGCAGAATACAGAGTAGGACTGACCACAAGACGAAGACCATGTAGCCTCACACGATGCCTGTGACAACACAGTGTGAGCTCTTTATGTTCGCATCCTATTTACGTGCCAATGTTAGTTTTCTTAGTAATCTGTAATCAGTAATCTTTAAATATTCAAAGGTGCGAGACAAAAATATATTTATTTATTTTTCCATCAATACTTTGGGATCCGCATCACTGTAAGCTGCCATTTGTCATCCTGAGTCTGGCTATCCTACATGGAAAGTGCGTATTTGTTTCCACTGACAAGTGAGTGAGTGAATATGGTTTTACGCCGCTTTTAGCAATGGGCTTCACACATTGTACCCATGTTGGGAATCGAAACCAGGACTTCGGTGTGACGAGCGAATGCTTTAACCACTAGGCTACCCGACCACCCCAGACCACGTAGAACACAGCACGAGACTCACACCATAGTAACATCCTTGAAAAATAATAGACATAAAAGAAAAATTCTGCTTTTACGAATCCATTGATAATCCCCGAACACTGAGTGAGTGATGGTCGCATTACGCCGCTTTAAGCAATATTCTATCAATATCAAGGCTGGGGCACAAGAAAAGGAATTCACATACTGTACCCATGTAGTCCCGAATAGTAATTAACATGACCGTTCACGTCCCTTTAAATTCGTGATATCCGAAGTTGCATTTCACATCATTAACACCGGGTAATACACATTCGGAAACGCAATCTTGGTTATAACGAATCCGCATTATTATCCATGTCCCTCTAGTCAGTCCTCAGGCCTAGTCATATAGAGAGCTGACAGACTAAAGCCGATGTGTTGGTGAACGAACCATGTTTAAATAAACACCTTTTTCTGCATTGAGACTTGGCCTTTGTTATAAGCGACTCAAGCGTAAACGCACCGGAAGTTATATTTGCCCAAACCAAACCAAGGGCAGATAAGTATGTTTCTAGAGACTTTTAAATCGTATCTGAGTCAAACCTGTGTCTCCAGACGCATGTGTCGCATGTGTGGGGTAGAGATCTACAAGGTTAACAGGACGGTACCATCACCGTGTAAATGCAGTCATGGCGCGAGGTGTCAGTGAAAGCCTTTGGATAGTGCTTGGGAATTTTATGTCATTATTTTTTCAACGACATGTATTTAAAGCCCACACGGGTCAGAACGCCAAAGTTCGTGAACTGAAAAATATTTCATGGGAGGCTAAAAACTTACCTAACGTAATTAAAAACTAACACCGGTATGACCACAGGTTTACAACATCCTCTATACCCCTTGCATGAGTGAAAAGGTAACGACAATTCAGCGTTGATTTTCCCCCATTTATTAATGAATTTCCAATTGAGTTACATTGTCATAATTCCTACTTACTATATGCGTCCAGACAATTGGCCAACTAAATATCAAAACACTGTTTTCTATCTAACTCGAGAGGTTTCTCTTCTTCTGTCTGGGGCGATGGGGTAGCCTAGTGGTTAAATCGTCGCTCCTCACGCCGAAGACCCGGGTTCGATTCCCACTTTGGTATAATGTGTGAAGCCCATTTCTGGTGTCCCCCCGTGTGATGTTGTTGAAGATTGCTAAACACGGCATAAAGCCATACTCACCCACTCTTCTTCTACACAAGCCCCAACAATCCCAAATACAATCGACACTCATGTGCAAAACTCAGTTCCCGGTTTCGGAATATTGTCGCTGTGACAAATAGACACAAACACGTCACCTTCTTTCTAATGACGATATTCAGAAGGTTATTACCAACTGCTAAATAGGAAACAATGGAAGGGATTTATTTGTTCGCTACACATTATTAAGCGTCGAGTAGTGTTTGAAAGTAAGTGAAAGATTTAGATTTAACGCCGCTTCGAGCAGTATTCCAGTTATATCGCGGCGTATCAGTTTGATGTGGGAGGAAAGCCCGAAGTAATGCAAGCCGTGGACGTTTAACACAGATAAAACCAATCAGCACGGTTGCTCTGTTGACCTGCGATAATACGTTTCTGTCTCGCCCAAGGGATGCAACTCTACACAGCAAATTCAAATTCAAAAGGGCCACTGAGTGTTAGAATGTGTGAAGCCCATTTCTGGTGTCCCCCGCCGTGATATTGCTGGAATATTGCTAAAAGCGGCGTAAAACCATACTCACTCACTCACTCACTGAGTGTTAGAAATACTGAAGCTACAAATTTGCTAATACGTGCTAAGTTGATTTTTCAGCACTGACTTACATTCACACCCACGAAAATAGGTTCCTGTCACGCCTAAGGGACGTAACTCTGCATATCGAATTGTAGCTCTTTTCAACTGGAACACTCAGTGTTAGAAAGAATACACATTCTAGACATGCTTAGTTGTTATGGTTTTCACCATGACTTACGTGTAGGCACTGCGTACTCCAGGAAACTTGGGCAGCTGAGGAAGGTGGTGGTGCCAGGGGCGGCATCATCCCAGCAGCCATAACCATCCCATGTGCGATGACACGTGGTGTTGATGTAGGGCGGGGCCTCAATCTGACGACGACAGCAATCTTCAGCGTGGTGACAGCACATACTCCATCGGTCACACAGATCGGAAGTTAAAGTCTCACATACCATGCTCCGACAGGTGGCGTTCTTTACATCCGGTATAAGCAAAGCACCCTTGGAGAACGATGATCCATTCACCCGTGCCTCTAAGTACGGAGTCCTGAGGTTGGCGGTGAGTTTCAGAGATCGGGATACGTGGAAATAGCACCAGGCGCAGGAATACAAGCGAAACTCGTCAGGAGGACGCATCCCAAATTTGTGACGGCACATCTTCTCCCTGGCTATTGCGTCATGGCCCTGAAAATAAAAAAATGAGTTAGTGAGTTAGGTTTATTCCAGTTATATTACGGCGTGTCAGCTTATTGTGGGAGGAAAGCCCGAAGTGATACAGACCTCAGACTTTTTTACCACGAGCACGGGAATGGTGCTAATAATCTAGAAACATACTCGGGGCGAAGGGGGATTTGAACCCACAATCATAGGTTTCTGGCGTGCCCAAGGGGCGCAACTCTGCACAGCGGATTGCGGCGCATTTGTCAGATAAAATTCACTTTTTTGACCACATGTTCCCGTGATTTTTCAGGTGGACAATTGATTTGCCTTCGCATGTGTTTGTAACGGGTGCCAACTGTGGGGAAGGATACGCGTTAAATCATACACATACATAATATAAACACTATATGACTATAAACCAGAGCGAATTAGTATCATGTGACTCACACCAATATTCCAGCCATAACAGGCGTGGGACACTTCGGCGCAGCAAGCTAACGCTTCAACCAGCAGGCTGCCCCACCTCCCTGCACAGTGAGTGAGTACATGTAGGTGTATAGTAATTACCATTTCATCCCCTGAGCGACAATGCGATACTTGTATAAGGTTCACGTGTTGTATTAATGTACAGAATCAGAACTACGGTTATAACCCACACGCTTATAACGAACTGAAGGATATAACGAACTTACTATTTTGGTCCTGACCATTTGCTGTAGTTATGCTGTATATATGCTTATAACGAACTGCGGTTATAACGAACTAAAATTAGTAGTCCCTTTGAGTTCGTTATAACCGTACTTTACTGTATAAGTGCAATAATCCTGCGACGTTAAACTCCACTTTACCTCACCTCACCATTGAACACTTTGTAAGGGAAAATCTATTCTTGTGCGAGGTAAAATTTAAGGACAACCTCAGTCAGCATTTAAAAATTAAATATCGAGCTATTTATGTCCCCGACTACATGTGTAGTAAAACCACTTTAATCTTGGCAGTATTGTTTCGGGACAAATTGTCCGGATGAAAAAAATCTTTTGCATGTCAATTACGGTCAATACCTACATTCAGCCACATCTCGGTCTCTTATGTCCACCTGACGTCATGTATTTTAAACCTGTACATGTATCGATCTTGTCCATTGAACCAATAATTAAGAGAGAATCAAAACGTAATCTACGATCCCCTTACTCGGCAGTACCAGTAGGATCAGCCAATCGGACAAACAAATCAAATATATTGTTCATTCAACTGTATTTTGTTTGTTTGTTTGTTCGTTGTGTAACACCGCACTCAGCAGTATTCCGCTATATGACGGCGGTCTATACATTATCGAGTCGGGATCAGACAATCCAGTGATTGACATCATGAACATCGATCTACGCAATTGGCATCGATGACATGCATCAACCAAGTCACTGAGTCAGACCACCCGATCTCGTTAGTCGCCTCTTACGGCAAGCATGGGTCTACTGAAGACCTATTCTACCCCGGATCTTCACGGCTCCAATAACTACATCTTAACTTAATTCAAACATCATCTGTAGCATATCGAAGATTCGAACAAGTCACAGGACGGATATAGAACTACAGTGAACTACGTTTATAACGAACACGATTATAACGAACTCACCGGTATAACGAACTTATTTTTTAGTCCCTGCCATGTGTTGTATTTATTTTGTATATATGCTTATAACGAACTACGGTTATTACGGACTACAATTAGTGGTCCCTTTGTATTCGTTATAACCGTAGTGTACTGTAACTAATGAGGTAGTAGGTATGCCGTGGGCCAATACAACTGTGTCTACATTGACAGTTATGGAGTAGCAAAACTTTCATTGTATAGTTTCTGTTCACACTGATTTATCATCAGCCATTAATTAAGTCGCGGAGTATTTATTTGAAATGTTATATCTACTGGCTTCGTGTAATCTGGTTTAACAAAACAATAGATGCGCTCTTTCTCCTTCAATGAAGAATGACTTCAGCTGAAAATGGTCTCCAAGTTAACCAATCACTCATTTGGAGGCGACATGCAATTCCAGTAAAAAAACACGTATCATATATGCGTAAATGAATTTATATTTTAAACACGTCTTTAAACAATAGTCGTTAAACTGATCCCTGCAGAGTTATGGTCCTTGATTACGTGTTTGACTGACAGCAAGATGTGCCGACCAGGTGGAATGAAACATACTTGGGGCTCATGAAGACCCATGCTACTGCTGTAAGTGGTTCTGAGGATATTGAAGGAGTCAGAGAGATCATTCTGATGTCTCACAAACCCTTTAGACAATTGATTTGAAATTACGGGGCTTCAGTTTGTCCGGAATCCCCGGAGGTGAAATGGAGATTAATGTGTTCAAGATTATTACTCTTATACTACCACGACTGGATAAACGGGATTTAATTAATTATGTTAATTAGTAGTTTGATATATAACGATGATTTCAAAATTGTTTAACATGTCCTTAAGATCTAATGATGCCCCGACAGCGGAATGTCGATGGTTCGATCCCCTGGCGCCATACAAAAAGATGTTACAAGATGGTGCTTCTTGATACCCTGCCTGGCGTTCGGCATTTAGGACTGGCCAGTATACAGTGTCTGAGTGGGGGTATCCATGTTATACAGAGGCAATGTCTCTCAGTGGGTTGGCATTATCAAACCACCATTAGTCCAGAGGAGTACGACCGCCTCCGTGGTCTAGTGGTAGAGCGTCCGCCCGGAGAGCGGAAGGTTCGGGGTTCGATCCCCGGCCGCGTCATACCAAAAGACGTTAAAAGATGGTACTTGTTGTTACCCTGTCTGGCGCTCGGCATTAAGGGGCTAAAACAAGGACTGGTCGGCTCGGAGTCAGTATACTGTGTCTGAGTTGGGTATTCATGTTAAACTGCGGCATGGTATCTCAGTGAGCTAGCACTATAAATCGTCATCAGTCCGGACTAAAGTACTCACGGATATAAAAACAAACTGTTTTTTCGATCTCAGATTTTAAATAAATGCAGTTAATATACAAAATATATAAATATTCAAACAACTCAATTATTACTAATTGGGCCTTGGCACAAATACAGCGTATCAAAGGTTTTTATGTCTTTTTACACGTAAAAGTGTGTAAAGATATGAACAAAACAGACTATTGTGAAACTGAGCATAACCAGGTGTTAGTAGATTAAGGTGAATGTCAATGACCTATGACACCTTGACGACAGGTGAAAACAGGTGCTTGAAACCCTCGTGCATGTGATTTGTCAGTGGTTAGTGATTTGTGAGTGGCAGTGTGGGATAGTGAATCATCGTCAAAATATCAGAACGTAAAAGTAACAACAACTTACATGTCATTATTATTATGTACATAAACATAGCTGTTATTTTTATTGTTGTTTTGATAACTTTTTTCCAGGCTAATTTGCATAATGCCTATAGCCTGTTTCTGCCATGTCAATTTGGACTTAGTTTTATTTTTGAATGTTGAAAGTGCCTACAAATTACCTCCTGTAAAGTACATTTTGTATTGAGAACTGAGATAATACTAGCAAATCCAGACTAATACTTTTCCAGTTGTTTTGTTATTTCGTATTTACATCTACGTAATACTTTGTGTCGATTATTAAATCCAGCAAAACAGTTTTTTTCATTTCCATGAGTACTTTAGTACAAGCAGCCACACAAAACACACACACGTACATGCACGTCGCTATATAAGTGCAATAATCTTGGACGCGACGTTAAACCCAATTCACCTCACCTCATCAGACTAGTACACTTGCAAGCAATAACACACTCATGTATTCACGTCGCTATAAATAAGAACAAGTATCACGTTTTCAACCTCACCACCAATCACTTTCCACATCAAGGCGACATGGCCGAAATGAGTGCGCACAAGTACAAGCATTCAGACACACAGACGTACACACAGACGTACACACACACGCACGCACGCACGCACGCACGCACGCACGCACGCGCGCGCGCGGCGCGAACACACACATACAAGCAATAATCCTGACCCATATCATCTTTCTACATTTACTAATGCTGTAGCGATTGTGGTAAGACGGGTAACATTAGAACCAGAGTTTTCTTTCATGACCGATTTAACTTTTGATACTATTCCTCCACTAAAGAATCATGTCTTTGAGAGATTTCCTACGTATATATGACACCTCAATATACCTGACATACGTACACCAAACTGTCTAACGAGACGTATATTCAGATTAAATCCTCTTGTAACACAAGTCAGACTTTGATGACAGCGTTGGCATTATCAAACAGAGTTCCCGCCAGCAATTCCTTTTACCTGCTTCTGATTTTGGCATGTAATGTGATAATGATCAGTAGTGTTAACTTTCTAATCCGATTTTATTGTCTAGATCCTCATTTTATTCATTGCCAATACCAGCGTTAGAAACATTTTAACAGGTGTCAGCATCGCACTTATTTCAGTAATTATGTCTTCGATTCCTTAAAATTAATGTCGAAAACGTCACGCTGGTCTCATGTGTGGGCCCCTCGGAGATAACAATGTACGGGGTATGACAGCCTGTCACCTGGTGACAAGAAGCAAGAAATTAACCCTCAGCATTCGTCAATACTACTTGTATACTACTCACCTTGTGATAACGATCCTGCGATTGACATTGTATTTAGATATACACTCGATATATTACGAAAACATTTGAGGGTATCATGTAACGATAAAAAATATCCTTATCAAAAAGTGTAGTTTATACACGTTTCTTGTCTATTGATAGGGCAGGACATGTTTCCCTTTTCGCGAACACCTATGTCCTTATTGATTTTCAGTTATCCATTCATGTAAGTTTCGCCGCTATTTTGCCTTTTTCGCAATGGAATCTGTTTCAGTGGATATCCGAGACTGGTTATTCTCTGGCATTGACTTTTCATATATATTTGTTGGTTATTTGCTCCGGTGAGCAGCGTTGAGTTATAACCCCGGAGGGCGGTCCGGTAGCCTAGTGGTTAAAGCGTTCGCACGTCACGCCGAA